TTTACAACAAGTAAAGCACAATACGAAATCACTCATGCATTAAAAGCAATGAAACAAAGATCCCATGAATCTTTGTGGGATTGCCTAAATCGCTTCTTTGATGAAGCTTTACTTGTAAGAGACTTGGATCCACATGTCTCATTACATTTGATCATTGACAGCTTGAAAGAAGACCATTTAATCTGTAGAAGAATTAAGAGCAAGATCAGAAAAGTATATCAACTTTGAAGATGACAAAAGGAGAGAAGAATTTCAGATCCCGTAAAAAAATTGATAAAACCCCCTCGCTGAATACTTCAAGATATGGCATCCAGAAAGAAATATTTTGCACTGTATTTTTTAATATTGAAAAACCTCCAACGAAGAACATTAAGTTTTCTTATAAGAGATATCTAAGTTAAATACAACACAGAAGGGAAAACGTTCCGCAAAGAACATTAAGCTTTCCTACGAGGGATGTCTAAGTTAAAGATATTTCAAAAAAAAAAAAACATCTCGTGAAGTGAAAAAAGATTAAGTTTTCCTATAAGTAGGGATGTGCATAGAGCAATCAAAAACCAAACCAAACCGATTTTTTCCAAACCAGTTTATGGTTTATAAGCAATTTTGATTGAAAATCGATTTTAATTCAAAATTGGTTTTAAATCGAAACTGATTTTGAATCATAAGCCGATTATCAAAGTTCTCTAATCTGTTTAGATGTGGCCAGTGCAAAACAGAATAAACCAATTAGGTTCAAGACCTACAATTTCAATTCCAGATTAGAGAAGTTGGGATTCCCAAATTCAAATTAGACATACCAACCCAATCCATAGGAGATAGAACTAAATAGGCCTTGCTTAATTATATATAATCTAACTCGTGCTCCACCAGTTGTTGAAGCGCGTCAACAAAACATTGATGAAGCTCAGGTGACAAACATTGCCTTTGTTTCCTTTGATTTTGGTGCAGATGTGGTGGTGGTTGTGGTTGATCCTGTACCTCAAGATGGAGCAAAAATGAGGCAGAACTACCATAACCACTTTTGGAATTGCTATTATGACTCAGATCAAATGTTGGAGTCATCAAACTAAAGCTCGGAACTTGTGAAACCTCCTTCGACACTGTCTTGGGGACATGCGAATTTCCATTAAATGCTATAAATGCTCTTCCACCACCCTTCTTATTATTCCCTTAGGTGGAGAGTAAATGAGCCGAGCGGCTTGTCAAAGGCCCAAGGCTTGACTTGCTTTAAGCTTGGCTTGGTGTGACTTGTTTAATAAATAGAATGGGCTCAAGCTTTAAAAAAAAACTTGTTCAGCAAACAAGCCCAAGCCTAATTTAATGAGACTTGACTTGAAAGCCCGTGAGCTGGCCCGATATATTATTATAATAAATAATAAGTTTTATGTCACTGAATCACTAACCCTATTTTTATATCAAATTGCTCGTATGAAGGTGCTGGTAGACTTTGGGGTAAGTGCTAAGTTTCCCTGGAGTAGAATGAGGTCTGGTAGTAGACTAGTAATGCTAATAGGTAGCTTTTTTTCTTTGGTTAGGTGTTGTCAGTGGATATTAATTGTTAACTTCTTTGTTCCAATTAGAGGATGGGAATGATGGTGCCATGAAATGAGATTCAATTGTTTGTCGGGTATGTTTAGTTATTTTAATAAAGATCATAGTAATTGTTATTTTTTTTTAATATTACAAACTGTTATCACTGAAATTTTTTAAAGGTTAGTCTATATTACATACTTTTCTTGAAATATTCTTATCCCACATTCTATATTTCATAAGCTGGATCAATGTTTAAGAAGAAATTGCATAACTCATTATTCGATCTTAAAATATATGAGCACTGAGTGAGTTATATGATTGTTTTTTCTCTGACGAAGGAATACAAAATTTGATGCATTTATAGTCTCAACATTTGGACGTGTGTGAGTTTAGAAAAATACATTTTATATTTATAAATGAGTCAAACCAAGCCTTTAATTTTTTATAAACAAGCCAAGTCAAGCCTAGAATTTAGCTCGTACCAAACTAATGAGTCAAGCCAAGCTCAAAATATTTTTCATAGACTTGACTCGTTTAAGTTAAAGCTTGGCTCGACTCAGCTCATTTACACCCCTACCCTTAAGGTTAAAAAGTAAAAATAAAAAGTGATTAAAGAAAAAAAATGGATATGGTTTGGTTATCCAACATATCCAAACCATTTGATAAATGGATATCCAAACCACATCCAAAATTAAAGAGTGGATGGATTTTATGAACTGTTTTAAAAAAAAAAATTGATTTTTTTAATTGGTTTAGTTCAATTTTTAAAATGGTTTGAATTATTTGGACATTATGCACATCCCTACCTATAAGGGACATCTAAGTCAAAGACATCTTAGAAGGGTAAACATCCCGTGAAAAAAGATGAAGTTTTCATGTAAGTGATTCATAACTTAAAGGCGGAAAGGCATAACTCCAAGTTCCAAGTCACTTAGCAAGGGCAGCCCTTTACCAGTGAGATTTGCCGTAACTCAGAAAAACTAGGGTTAGCGATAAACCGGCTTGTCAATTCTGAAGGGGGCATGCAAGTTTCAGGAAAGGTATCTCAGAAAGGAAAACATCTTGCACGAAGAAATATAAGGGTCTGTTTGGTGTAATGTATAAGACTTGATAATATATGTTTATATTATATGTATATGACATTTTTAGATGTTTGGTGTAACTATCGTATAATATAAGCTTATACAACAGAATCTCTTATAACTTAATCAAGCCCGAGGGGGGATTAGACTTGATAAGGGGTTGATGTACTGACATCGCTGACCAGTGCAATTCTCAAGAATTAATATATTATTTGAATATTAATATTTTAAATAATTTTTTTCGATATATAATTTTTTAAAATATTGGAGATTTTTATTTTTATAAAAATTAATATATTTTTGGACAAATTGATAGATTTCTATAAAAATTAATATCATATGATATATTTGGAAGAATTATATAAATTTTTTATTAAAGAGTATCTTTGTCAAAAATATTTATTTTATCTTATCTAGTATTATATAGTGTATTACAAAACACTCAACGATATTATTTCTTCGGCTAGTAGACATCTAGCAATAAATCTTACACCGTTGATTTATTTTGATTTCTCGCATTTAATGCTTTCACTCACCTTTGCATGATTATAATTCCTCAAATTTATTTGTTGGACGTGAAGCGGCTGGAATATATATATATATATATATATATATATATATATATATATATATATATATATATATATATATATATATCCTTTGACACCAGTGTCAAATTTAAAGTTTGACACCTCATCTGAGAGCCGTTAGATCAAAATAGATCAACGACTCTGATTTGTAAGCATGTGATACCGTTGATTTTTTTTTATCTAACGGCTCTCAAATGAGGTGTCAAACTTCAAATTTGACACTGGTGTCAAAGGATCCTACCTCTATATATATATATATATATATATATATATATATATATATATATATATATATATATATGGAAGTAAGTAATACCGAATTGCATTCCTCATAATGAAAAGCATAACCATTTATTCTTCTTAATTAATTTTAAGTTACGTAGTTATAAATTTTTATTTTTATTTTTATTATCATTGATAACCAATACTCTAAAGACGTATTATGAAAGTGGGAGGATCAATTAATCAAAGTGTAAGACTTGCACTGGTTTATTAATATTTTCAATTAATTAAAATATTAAATATTTAATTTTCATTTAATATATTTAAGTTTTAATGTCTCAGCGTCCTACTTAAACTAATCAACAAAAATGTGTCTAGACAATTACATTTTCTGTACAATACTCATTATGACTATGAGTTACTATAATTTAAACCTCACTCACCTAGTAGCTTATTTCTATATCCTGATATTTTTTCGAAATTATTAATGTTGATTCTTATACTTTTAAAGACTTCCATTGTAAAAAGAATTAGATCTCACTCAATGTGAAGAATCAAATTCAATTCTGCTTGTTATCAAAAAAAAAAAAAAAAAAAAATTCAATTCTGCTGATAAATTTTTAATTTCCTACTATACTTAAAAAAGGTTATAATATTTTTCATTAAATTATCTCCTATATATACATAAAAGTATTTGGATCCATATTTTTTTCTCTCACTCTTCTACTCATATTGCCTCTCATGGACATCACATATTTTGATGTATATAGGAGATAATTTATTTCTACAACATGAGAAAAATTAAACTCATACTTAAATTACAATACATAGAATTATGTGATAGTAAAAATAAATTTGCAAAACAAATATGGCTAAATATAATTAAATGAGTCTATTTGTTGTCATTTAAATGGGTGAATTAAAGGAATATGTGTAGCTCAATTGTTAACTCAGATTGAATGAAGCAGGATAGAACTCGAGTTCGATCCTTATCAAATATATCTTTGAAGAAGGAGGATGAGCTTTAAATGTGATTAAGCCCTGACTCTATATTAGTTTTATAGTCAGTTCAAAGAGTTGAAATTTGTAAGAATACCAGGAACAACTCACCTCAATAGGGTCGATATACCAAAAATAAAATAAAATTGAGTAAACTAAAATGTTTTCGCTATGGAAATATAATTTATTATATTATATAAGATAAAATTATATCATACGCACGTAAATAAAATGATCTTATCTGATGTAACATTAACAACTATATTTCCAATTGCAATTCTACATATTCTCTTCCCCTGTGTTTCTTGTACAACTTTAATTTAATTGTGCAACACCACTTAAGTTTATGTCAAATGTCAATGTTCATGTTCATGATGGCCTTCATCTAGATTACCAATTTGCCCACAAGAGTCCACGGCTTCACCACATCAACCGATACCTAATCAAAGATTGTCCTTTTCAACTCTCTCTTTCTCTGTTTCTTTCCTTGTATATTGTATGGTCTCAGCGCCCACAAACATCCTCTCAACCAATCACAACTCAGTGCCTTTGACCTCTTTCATGTCTCGTCTTTCCACTCGTCCCTGTTCCATAGATCGTTGTCTCAAAACCAGTACAAAGACCTGACACATTCCTGTTCACTTCTTTGCACTGCACTTCATTGCAAACTTCTTCCTGTCTTAGTCTTCACCGTACTCTCCCATTCCATTTCCATTTCAAAGTTTTTTCCTTTTTTTGCTTTTCTCTGTTTTCCCATTACTTCTTTTCTCTACCTTCTAAGACTATTATGTCTATCTTTCTATTCTGAATTATTATTGTGTGTCAACTCCATGAGCTTCTGGGGTTGGAATTCTCTGCACTTTTTTGGGTTTATCTTCCCATAATCCTAAATGGGTTTTGCTTTTTTCTTTTTCTGTGGTGACGATTCTTTCTTCTCTTAGATCTGAATAGTTTTAGGGTTCATATGCTTTGCCCAAAGCTGTGGAATTTGGAATTTTCCTTGGGTTTTGGAAAGAAAGCCTTTTTCTAGATTCCTCAGGTTTTGGCTACGTGAAAAGGGTAGCAATTCCTAGCAAAAATGCTTCTTTGTCCATAAGAAGCTCCACTACTATTCTTCATATCTTCTCTAGTTATCTCTCTCTTTGAACTTTCTTCAAAGAGTGTGTGTGTGTGTGTGTGTTTGTGTTCCTATTTTATCTTTTGGCAAGGTTGCTATGTATGTTACTATTCTCTAGTACAATGAACAGGGGAATTGAATTTCTTTCTCCAGGTTCTTATCTTCAGAATTCTAATTGGTTGTTCCAGGAAAGTGAGAGAACCAAATGGACGCCAGAAGAGAACAAAAGGTTTGAGAATGCTTTGGCTTTCTATGATAAGGACACTCCAGATCGTTGGATGAAGGTGGCAGCTATGATTCCAGGAAAGACTGTAGGTGATGTGATCAAACAGTACAGGGAACTGGAAGAAGATGTGAGTGTCATTGAATCTGGGCTGATTCCAGTTCCTGGTTACACTACTAGTTCTTTCACGTTGGAGTGGGTTAACAATCAAGGCTTTGATGAGTTCAATCAATTTTATAATGTTGCTGGCAAAAGGGGCACTTCCACTCGGCCATCTGAACAGGAAAGGAAGAAAGGAGTGCCGTGGACTAAAGAGGAGCATAGGTAATTGCACATCATAAGCCTTTTTCGGTTTGTTTAGTTCATTGATGCTTCAGAAGTGACCCCAACGTGTCTTAGATAATGTTTAAATTTATGTACGTCTCAAACAATGGAGAAAGAATTCATGCTTAGCCAGGTTGTCAAACAACTTTTTTAAGTTAAAGGGTTTTTTTCTATTTAGTTTTGAGTTTTGGGGATAAGAGGGCCAGTTCCGAGCCATAATAAAGCTGTTTCTTGGTGACCGAAAGGTGACATAGTCGAATAAACAGTCAAATGAACAGCTTTTTTGTAAAATATATGGGTAAGATTTGTAATTTCCCTCGCCCTTACCCTTGCAATCTGTGTAGTTGGTTGAATGTTTACAAGTCAATTATGGTTACTACATCTTGAAAGATCAAATCTCCATGCACAAAGTTCCCCAACTTTGCTATGGTAGAGGTGAGAGTCGATTATAGACAACCGTACTTATTTATTATTGCAAAGAGACTGTTTTCGATACTCAAATCTGTGACCTTCCGATCACAAGGAACAACTACTGCTGCTTCAAGAATCGCCTTCCCTAGTTATAATATATCTAATTTGTATAAAAAAATGATTCACTTGATGGTCTCTTGTTTTTGCATACATGTTTGCCTGAATCCAGGGTTTTTGCTCTTTTCTTTTTTTTAATGTTGGATTATTTGCTAATTGAACCATCACAGGCTATTTCTGATGGGTCTGAAGAAGTATGGTAAAGGAGATTGGAGAAACATCTCTCGTAATTTTGTGACCACAAGGACACCAACTCAGGTTGCAAGTCATGCTCAGAAGTATTTCATAAGGCAACTTACTGGAGGGAAGGATAAGAGGAGATCCAGCATCCATGACATCACAATGGTCAATCTCCCAGAAACAAAATCTCCTTCATCAGACAGTAACATACCTCCTTCTCCAAATCAATCACTGAAGGTTTTGAATCCACATCAGAATCAGAAATTGTCTAGCATGGTTAAACAGGAATATGACTTCAAATTTCCAAATGAGGGCATGTCTATGCTTTTTGATTCCACAAATGGAAACATGTTCATGACACCACTGCGTGGGAATTCTTTATATGGATCTAAACCACAGGAGCAATGTTTACTCAGAGGAACTCTCCATGGAAGCCAATTGGGCCCTTATGATACTATTATGCAAATGCAATCGATGCAACATCAGTGAACTATGCATATAATGCAGGGTTTAGAGTTTTTTATGTTACTAAATGCTAAACCTTATATTCAGTGATGTTTTTGTAGATGCTTAATGGTGGTTTATGTGAATATGTTGAAGAAGATTTCCATTTCGTCCTTATTAATTGTACTCTGAAAAGATTAGTTCATATTGTATGGACCAGCTGCAGAGCTAACCCTTGTTCTATTGGTTTGGCGGTTGCTACCAAGACGATTTCTTTATGCCCATGTTATCAAAATGCTGGGACTAATCAGTCAAAAGAAGATTACTTATGTAGCTCTGGCTTGTGTGACATGATTTTGTAATTGCATGTTTGATAATTTGATTGTACTTTGATGGAAATTGCATCTATATATGTGCATTTTTTTCTTTTTCTTTCTTTACTTTTTTTTTTTTTCTTTTGACTGAAAAAGGATTTAATTAGATGTGAACAAGAATGCAAGATTACAGATTGGCCATATGATGTGCGTCTTCTATCTATGCAGTAATTATCGCAGTAATTAGTTTGTGACTCTTCACTTTTTATGAGATGTTGATGCTTCAAATAAATATGCAGTTCAAGTTCACTTCATACAATGAATGAAAAACAGCCCCAGCCTTCAATCATACTTATATATTAGTGGTGTAATCTGAAATAAAGAGATAAATTAGGGGGAGTAATTAAAGCATTTAGATTGTAGAGTGATTACGCTAAAAAGCTTGGTTGATGGATCACTCTGCCCATATTTTATTAATTATTTACTAATTTATCATAATTTCAAATTATTTTCTAATCTATATTATTTTGATCAAAGTTTATCACTTTTAATCATTTGGATCCCACAAATATGACATGTGTCAGCCATATGATAATAATGTGTCACATTTGTTAGACTCACAAGGTCAAAATAGGGTAGATTGATAAATAATTTTTAAAATAAGGATAAATTGGTCATTCTATCCATAAAGTTTTAGCATGTGTGATTTGTGGTTATTCAGGAATAGGGGTATAAATGGATTAGGCCGGCCTACAGGAGTCTATGACCTAGCTTATATTAGGCCAAGTTTGACCTATTATAAATAGTAAAATAGAATAAGCTCAGGTTTTTAAAAAAACCAATTTAAAAAATATGTCATAGGCTTTTTTGTACTTGTTAGGTCTATAAGCGTACAAGCCAGCCTATATCATATTATTTATTTTAAATAAAATAAATAAAAATATTATTTTAATAATTTTAAATAATAAAGTAATATTATTTTAGTTATTCTTTTAATTGTTGAATGTTTAATAGGCTTAAACAAGCTAATAGGCTTAGACTTAGGTTTTTATTTTTTAAATATAGGTCAGACTAAACTTGTAATTTGAGGTCTACACAGGCTAGGTCAGACACAATATTTTTTACACAGACCTAATCTATTTAAGACAAAATCTAGCCTAACCTAACTTATTTATACCCTTATCCATGAGGCACGTGATCTTTTGCTCGTCAAATAAGGTGAATAAGATGTAGGCTCAATTCCTCATGTACTATTGTATTAAAAAAATGTGGGTTTTATGCACGATGGCAGATAAGAAATTTTACAATAAATATATTTATATTAAAATTTATATACAGATCTTGATATTTAAAAAAAAAAACAATGTCAGCATGCATATCCAAATTTTCTATGTGTTCTTATATAAAACTTATCTGCAACAACATAAAAAATATTAAATTCGTAAATGTGATCTATCATGAAGCATTTGAAACATAAGTTTGTGGAACTATTATTTCGATGACATGGTGGACATTAAGATCCTACTAATGTTTTTTTTTTTTTGGTAAAAGATCCTACTAATGTTTTAAGCATAAAGTTATATTTACAAATTTTTTATTTACAAACTTTTATAAATTATATTATATATTTTCGGAAGTAGACTAAATTACACTATATACTTTCGGGAGTATATAATGTAATTTAAAAAAATTTATTAAAAAAATCTGTAAACAAATTCTTCCTTACGTTTTAAAGATCGAATCGGATTGAACCCCTAAACTTACTATATTTTCGATTCAAACATTATTCAGTTTAGCGGCAAATTTAACTGATTAAATTAAGAAAATAATATTTCTAATATTGAATCCATAATTTTATCTTATATACATATAAATAAAAGTGTCTGGAGAACATGTATGTGAGGAGAAAAAAAAAAACATGAGTCTCAAAATACTTTTATGTATATATAAAAAATAAAATTACATATAATATAATAAACATTAATACCTTATATCAAGGCAATCATGATATAAAAATAATATCGATTCGATATCTGATTTAGGTTCTTTTTAATTATCGATCTTAATTATTTTTTTAAAGGTTCTTCTGAATATTCCCATAATTCATACCAAAAAAGAGTCACCAGTCTAACGACGTGACAATTATCTCGCTCTAATTCCATAAATTTTCTCTCGGATTTAAACTTTTCTTTTGACAATTTATCCGTCCCGCGGCTTATATTGTCAGTTTAGCCAATATGCGATATAGAATATTTTTAAACATCGATTTACCTGTAGCTCCATGACTCTGCGATAAATCATTGTTTTATGTGCTACCCATGATTAAGTCCACGGGTTACATTTAATTCTATATGTTAAGTTAGCCTCCAATGGATTAATAACAGTATTACGTGGCGACTGAATATTGGTAATGAAGCAGAATCCCAACGTGTGGTATATGATAGAAGAATCATACACGTTCTGTTTTGTAGGCAAGTGGAAGCACTTAATTTGGACACTCAACCATGTAATCATATGCTTGGTTCGAAATTGCTGAGTCACGCAGCATTTCTTCAAAGTGACACACAAATGTACTTCATTGCCTTAATTGAGTTAATTCCCACTACACCAAAACAGGTAATTAATTAAGACGATAATGGAAATTAGTTGACCGAGTTAATTTGATGTCGAACCTTGACCATAGATGAAAACTAAGGGCCACTAAATTGAGAATCTCATACTCCACTCTATCGTCTTTTTCACCTTGTTCTTTCCATAAGCATGAAAGTATTTATTTGCTTCCCTTTTTTTCTTGTCTCTTCGGGTGAGGGGTGCTACTTTTACTTTATAATAATCTAGAGTGCATTTTCAGTTTCTATATATATAGGAGAAGGATATTGTGACAACCAAGTTGTGTTACTATCAAGTGACTACCAATCAATCTTACCGTTAGATCGATTATGTTGATCTAATGGTTATATTTATTTTCATCTTTGTATGGTCATGATTCCCCAAATTTAATATTTTATATTTATTTTCACTTTTGTATTGTTATGATTTCCCATATTTAATGTTTTCACTTTAAATATGGAGAATCATGACCCTACAAAGATGGAAATAAATATAACCGTTGGATCAACATAATCGATCTAACGGTGAGATTGATTGATAGTCACTTGGTAGTAACACAACTTAGTTGTCACAATATCCTTCCCCATATATATATATATATATATATATATATATATATATATATATATATATATTTGGGGTTCCAAATGACATGTATTACCTTCAATGAATATAGCAGTTAAGGAAACCACAATGTCATATATGTTGCTCCTAAATATTCAAATCCCACTCTTAATCTTGGAACCTTATGCCTTGCAGTGGAGAATCTGTTGAATTTTGTTAATCAACCAGCAAGAACTTTTAGGTTAGGAAAGGCTTGACTTTTCAACTTTTGGCATGATTGGTAAGGTGGACACTTCATTTAAAAGATTCATGCACTGCGATAAAGATTCTTTGACTCTTATCTGGCTTGATTTTTTTGTCTTTTCTTTTCCCATTTTTTAAATGAGGTGTTGCCTTGTTATTATGTGCTAATTAGGGTGTATATTTTAGACCTTACTAAGGATTCTATTGTTAATCTGTCCAACAAATTTTCATAATTCAATACAAGAATCTGTCCCCATCATTTGTTAGTTATATGGAAAGAGCATCTTCATAGCATCTAATTAACTGATGGCGGCTTTTCCTTACTAAACCTCTTCACATGTCTTAGCACATAATTATTAAATGGAATTTACCAAAACGGACTTTGAGCAAAGAGCAAATAGATGGTGCTTGCTGGGGTAGGTTTACTGTTTCTCCTTTAATGCTAATGGTTTGGAGGCTAGGGCATACCTCACATATTGTGGGTAAAAGACTCAAAGGTTAATAAATGTTCCCTTATTCCTCATTAAATGAAGACCAGAAGAAGGGAGAAGGTTCTCCCTTCACCTATATAAGGTCGAGACGACCATTTGAGAAAGAATTTTTGATATTTTGAGAATAGCCTCTAAAGAAAATTTTGAGAGACAAACCTCTTTAGAGAAGTTTGAGAGAAAACCACCATTGTTGGTAAAGATTGAATGTATCACCATTGTTTGTAAGTTTTAAGAAAACCCCAGTGAGACTAGAGAAGTTTAATTTCTTGTAACGTACTGTTTTTATAGTGAAAGTTTGTTCTTAACTCATGTTCCGTGGTTTTTACTTCTTCACATTGAAGAAAGTTTTCCACGTTAAAATGTTGTGTCTTCTTCTTCATCATCTCTGTTTCTACAGTTGCTATGTTTCTTATTGAAAAGACTTAGTCTATTTGTAAGCATTGGCCGACCGGTATACGTGAATTACTGGGTGGAGATTGATGTTGCGAGGAAAGCTTCTTGTGTACCGATCGGTAGGTCTAGTAGTACCGACCGGTAGTGATAGTGGTGCCGAATGGCAACATTGCTTCCGCGCGATAATTATTTGAGGGACCGTGTCCAAACAGTGGTATCAGAGCTCGAGTTTGAAGGGTTCTGAAAGAGACGAGATGGATACCAGTGGTGTTGCTCATGACTGAAAAACATTTAAACTGACAAGTGACAACTTTACTTACTAAAGACCGATGATGGATGATTATTTGTTCTACAAAGATCTTTATGAGCCTATCCTCAATGCCACGATGCCAGAGGGCGAAAATCAAAGAGAATGAGAGATTCTAAATAGGAAGGCTATTGCCATGAACAGATATTGACAAAAGCATATGTAGTCCAACTGACAACTTTACTTATTGGAGATCGATGATAGAGGATTATTTGTTCTGGAAAGATCTCTATGAGCCTATCCTCAATGCCACAATGCCCAAAGGCAAAAACCAAAGAGAATGAGAGATTTTGAATAAGAAGGTTGTGGCCATGAAAGTATATTGACAAAAACATATGTTAGTCCCCGTACACTCAAGAAGGAAGGTTGAATTGAGCGATGGAAGGTTTTAGTTTGTTTTT